CCCATATAGATTATTTTGGATAGAGCTTGAAATTATATGTGTGTTTTGAAGAATATCCATGAGAATGAAGCTAATGAAAGTACTAAAGTTTGGAAGTCTGTGTGGATTAATCCCAAACCTGAGACAATAAAAACAAATTTTGATGCCTCTTGCAAAACTGATGGCTGGTTCACTGCGATCAATTTAGCTGAAGCTTGGGTTGCTTGGGAAGCCATCAATATTGCTACCAATTTCAAGGACTCCCTGATCATTATTAAAGGTGACTCAAAGCTCGTCAATCGTCATTGATTGCCTGAGAAAGAACGTAAAGCCCACGCGGAGATTGGAGAGCATAATGTATGCGTACCTCCTCTTCATTTCCAGCATCACCTCCTGGCATATTTATCATGAAGTAAATCAAGCGGTAGATTAGCTTATGTGCGATTCTCTATCTTGTGACTCAGTCAATCTAGAATGTCTCCCTTGGAACCTTAGGTTTAATTTGTTTGCTTTTGTGATTCTTGGGACAGCTACCCCCGCCTTGTGTTGTGTTCTTCCTATTTTCTAACAAAAAAAAAAAAAAGAGAATTGTGTCATGTGCATTCTTATGTCTTGGGGCTTTAGGTCTCATCATCGTCATCGGTGGGGGTTTTGGGAAAGGGCTACCCCCAATATAAGGTGGCAAATGAATTTGATCAAATTTGGATTTGGGTATGGATCCAAACCTAAATCTTGTGAGCATTCTATGTTTTATTTATTTTTATTTTTTATTTCGAAGAACTACAAAATTCTAAGTAGGGTAAGGAAGCAAGAGAGAGTAGGCTGATGTGAACAACTTCATTTTAGAATATAACAATAGATTCAATTCATTTATATATTTTAATGTCCAATTTGGTTAAAATATTAGTGAATTTATATATAATTAGAATAAACTTACTAATAGAGGTGTAAAGTGGACTGTGCCGTCTTTCTCGGTGAAAATTTTGGGGGTTGGCTTGGCACGGCCCATGGCCTAGGCCTGTGTGGGCCCGTGCCGTGCCGCGGGTCAGGTTGGCTCGTGGGCCAAGCCTTAGCCTAAGTTGGGCCATGGACTAGGCCAAAGATATTTTTTTCTTATTTATTTAAAAAAATTGAAAAAAACTTAAAATTTTAATTTTATATGAATTTTGATGTATACAATTGCTTATATATACAATAATTAAATAAATTAGTATAATAAAATTCAAAATAATTGTTTATTTTATTAATATATTATATACTATATATTATTATATAATTATAATTTGTATAATATATATATAAATATATAAAATATATAAATATTATATATCCATATAAAATATATATAAATAGTATATATGAGTCGTGCTGGGCCGTATCGACACGTGGGTCTTAGGCGGCATGACCTGCTTGGTCGTGTCGTGTCGTACCAATCCGTAGACTTCAAACCCCAGGCCCAACAGGGCATAGACCATCGAGCCAGGACTGGCATGGCCTGTGGGATGTTGTGTCGTGTCGTGCCGGGCCAATCCAATGTCGTGTCGCGGCCCAACTTGATTTACACATCTACTTACTAAACTAAAAACAAAAATACATACTATAAATTTGAAAAATTAGGTTTATCAAAATTCCAAATCCCACTTAATTCTAAAAAAAWTTAATAAAAAACGATATTTTTTTTGTATGCATGCATATACAATTAGATTGGATTAGATCCTAGTGGATTAAATCAAGTAATGTCCAAATCTAGTCTAATTAATTAATAGATAGATCATATTTTCAAATCTAATTATGACTAAATGGATAATTGGATCTAATTAACTTAAGTGAATTAGAAAAACAAAAACAAAAACAAAAACAAAAAAGAAAGAAAAGGTCATGTAATCGGCTCGGATGCGATGAGGCCTATACTCTTAATCATTCTTCTTTGTTTCAAGTTTATACCTTGTGCTAATTATTGAATATCAAATTATGTAGGGGGTATTGGATTTGTTGACTTTTGTCATAGCCCAACCTAAATTAATGTTCATACAAAGACTGGGTTCAATATTCAAACCTCACAACATTTATTGTTGTGCATTTGGAGCATTTATTTTTTTCACTCACGGGGAGATGTTCCCAATGGAAGACCACAAGGTTGTGAAGACGGTGTGAGGACCGAATCTAGATTCACAAAATTCAAACACGCTTCTAGTTGCACTTAATTCAAGGCATCACATCAATGGAACTTTGATTCCAAGTGCTGGAGTGTTCACATTTCGTAGTAGGGTGTCACATGTGAAACAGTTGTAGCAAAATTTTCTCATATTATGGAAAAAATGGTGGTCAACATATATAAAAACAAACAATCAATAGCTTCAATGTGCACAACCTCCAATCATAAAATTCCATTGTTGAGCATCAATCAATAAAACAAGTTCATTATACATTGATAATCCAACTTATACAAAAACTCGTCAATTTATGCATGAAGATTACAACTCAAATCATGGTAGTGTGAAGCAAATGCATCACCACACCTTATTACAAATAACAATTACAAATTATAACGACCAAAGGGTTATTTGTATGGAATGAATACATTCACTTATGGGTTTTGGCCACTTCCACCACCATAACCAGACCCATATCCTGAGCCACCACCATAGCCAGAGCCACTACCAAAACCAACACCACCACTTCCATATCCACTACCACTCCCAGAACCGTAACCTGAGCCAGAACCACTTCCGCTCCCAAACCCATATCCTGAGCCTCCACCACCTCCACCTCCACTTCCATAGCCACCACCAACTACTACCCCAGACTCAGAGCTAGAGCCGCTACCACTCCCTGAACTATAACTAGAACCACTTCCATAGCTACGTCCACCAATAAATCCTCCAGCACCATACCCATTACCACTGCCAGAACCATAACCACTTCCACTACCAGATCCATATCCAGAGCCTCCACCACCTCCACCTCCACTTCCATAACCACCACCACCACCAATTACTCCAGAACCATAGCTAGAGCTACTACCACTCCCAAACCCATAACCAGAACCACTACCAAATCCAGATCCATATCCAAAGCCAACTCCACCTCCCCCACCACTTCCATAGCCATGTCCACCAATGAACCCTCCATAACTATACCCACCATCACTCCCAAAAGCATAACCATAGCCATCACCACTTCCACTACCAAATCCATATCCTACACCGGCACCACCTCCAACTCCATTTCCATAACCACTACCAAATCCAGAGCCACTACCACTACCTGAACCTTGGCCAGAACCACTACCACTTCCACTTCCATAGCCACCACCAATAGCTACTCCAGATCCTTGTCCAGAGCTACTACCACTCCTTGAACCATATCCAGAACCACTACCAGATCCAAACCCAGATCCTGAGCCACTACCACTTCCACTTCCACTTCCACTTCCTGAACCACTACCAGATCCATACCCAGATCCGGAGCCACGTCCACTTCCAGAGCCACCACCAGAGCCGCTACCACTTCCTGAACCATGGCCGGAACCACTACCAGATCCAGAGCTACTTCCACTTCCACTTCCATAACCACCACCAGAGTTGCTACCACTCCCTGAACCATGGCCGGAACCGCTACCAGAACCGGAGCCACTTCCACTTCCATATCCACTACCAGAACCGCTACCACTCCCTGAACCATGGCCAGAACCGATACCAGATCCATATCCAGACCCGGA